TTCTTTAACCTTTTGCTTTTAGCGATGTCTGAGAACCTTCCATCGACTCCACCTTGATTAGTTCTGTTTGATAAACCTAGGAACTCCTAAAATCCTGTCAGTGCATCTTTAGCTTTGGCAAATATTCTATTTAAAACAGAAAAGCATATAAATAGTATTAAATATATATCTGATCCAAACACAAAATCAATACCATATAATCAGCATTCACTTTGGATAGCCGGAGTTATACACAACCAATTTCATAGTGAAAAGGTAGCTGTTGTCATCAACTTTCACAGGCCTTCATTCTCTTGCTTTACACTTTGCCCAAATATATTATAAATGTCAAATGTAGAAACCAAAATGGTGGCTAGTGTAAAAACACAACATGTATTACCTTGGGAGTAGGTGTGAGAATGAGTAGGGCACTGGCATCTAGTGAAAAGAAAAAAGGAAAATGTTAAGTACAAATGGAAACTAAAAAATGCTAAGTCTTAAAGTAATTCACACCGCATTCCAGTCTCAGACTATCAAACTGTATAGTTATGTTGGCAGACACTTTACAATAGAAAAATCCTCTTTAGTCACAAAATTCAAGGGTCCATCCTACTCTCTCCAAAGTCTTTCCAGCCCTACAGGATCATTCTTTGATCGATTCGTTTATTCTAGCAGCGCCTCTGCAGGCAGCTGAGATAAGTACTCTGGGGGTACACACAGGTTTCAGAACATCAGTCCAGCCCACTCCTGACCAAGCCACGTCAGCCGCCTGTACACACAGGTTTCAGATGGGGTCCTTGGTTTCCTTGGGGACCCAGCTCTTACAAGTTTAGGAGCTTTGACCAAATCATGTCCCTACTCCTGAGCCGCAGGGTTGCAGCTCCAGGCTCTGCACTACTCAAGCCCCAGGGAAACCCCAGGGGCCTCACACACCGGGCACACCCTGGTCCTGGAAGCCCATCATCTCTGCTCACTTCTCAGTCGGCTTTCTCACAGATTTTCCACATCCTCAGTTTGGGAAACTTTCCCTCCCTTCTTTGCTCTGGTCGTCTCCTATTTCTTGGACAGTCCTTCCACTGGCTTCTTTTTCTTCCTGCTCAGTTTTGTTTCTTTTTATAGCCGGTAGGACCTTGTCATACTGAGGTCTCAGTAGATTCTTGAATGCATGACCTCTTTCCCCCATTCTGCCGAAATTAAAATTTGGAATTAAAACATCGGAGGTGGTGGATGGGAAAAGATGGATTCTAGGGGCCCTCAAGATCTCAAAACTTCCGGAGAATTGGGAGTCAAAACACGTGGGAAGCGAGGAGTGAGATACCACAAGTCAAGTCTGCCACCTAGCGGTCTCAGCTGACCGCGGGCGCTCGCAGGGGACAGCAAGTAGGCCAAGGCGGATAGTTTGGTCCCTCGCGGGTGGGCTTTACTTTCCAGGACTTGCACTGAGTGAAGCCCTGCAAGGACAAGCAAAGCAAGGGGAAGAAAAACATCTAGGCACAAAGCTTTCCAACGCGAAGCTCCTAGGGGCACATGCTTCCTTCTCCTACCCCCTTCTTTTATTTCAAGCTCTGAGACTACCTCAGTTCACATTGTAAAAAACTTTTTGAATTTTTATTAGTACATATTTACAGTACATAATGATTACATTCATCGTGGGGAGCTGGCACATGTACATAACACATCTTAATTCTTTTTACATCTCCTCCCTCCTTTCCCTCTGCCTCAGTTCACCATTTTCTTTACCTGAGGCTCCTATTCTGTGCTTGCCTTCTCAGCACTCCATCTGTATTGCATTTTCTAGAACTCTCCATTACTTAATCCTTCTCATCATATTTAAGAATTTTCATGCCTGAAATTCTCAGGATCACTTATTGTCTGGTTCTCCCCTACTGGCCTACAAATGCTGGCTCCTTTTTCTCACCTCCAGGATATTTCTTGGTCCATCAAACCAGGCTGCTGCCTCTACAAGTCTCAGTGTTCAGGCTGGCTCCTCAATTCTCAGACCTCTGAGCTCCTCCCTGGCAGCACTGATCCCCGTGAGCTACCCCTTGCTTGGTGGGGGAACTCTTTTCCTTCGGTTCCAGGTCGCCCTGCCTGTCTGGGTTTCCTCTCATTTTTTTCTCTAACTTCACCCCTCTACCCATTCCTTAAATGTCAGGTTCTGACTGGTGCTGCCTTCAGCTGTTCTGATCCTCCCTTTTCCCTTGCCCTTTATCATGCATCAAAGCTCCAAATATTTCTCCACTCTCTGACTGCCCTGTTCTCTCATCCATATTTCTACTAACTTTGAAACTGGCTTCTTGTGGCTCCACATTTGCCACCTCTATTCCTCACATTATGGTCAGAAGCCTATGTCCAGTGATATTTAAAGTTGCTTCTATGGCAGTTAAATAAAGTTCAAGGCTGGCCTGGCTGATCTCTCCAGCTTAGCCCTTCATCTTGCTCCATCCGTGGGTTCTGACTTCTGGAAAATTCCTTTTTTTTTTTCTTGAATGAGCCACAATCTTTCTCTTCCTCCTCTCTCCAAAATGTTGCCCTTATTATGTCCCTCCCTCTTCAGGATAACCTTTGTTCTTTTCCATCAGCCCTCCTGGCAGTCTTTAATGAGGCCTAAGGTCTAACCCTGGGATCTGCAGTACTGTGCCTCCCTCCCCAAACCACACCTGTGGCGTTTCCTCTCCACTCCATACTGTCGCTATAAGGTGCTGACATCATTCTACTCATGCCACACTCCCGGCCCATGCAACTGGTCCAAAAACATTCTGGGTAACACTGGTTCCAAGGGAAATGAGTTGCATGATAAACAGTTGTATGAAGACACAGGGTTTAGAACAAAGAAATTAAACACAGCTAATGAACTTCCCCTTCTTCAGGCCTTCTCAGAGCCCCTTTATGTATTAATGTATATCCTGATTTTCCAAGAGGGCAATTCAGGGGAAAGTGGTTTCCCAAATTGACTTGGCCATGGAATTCCTTTATTATGGGGTATCTCGAGGTATAAACATTTCAGGGTGAGAAGTACTGCTTAATAGTGAACACAATTTAAACTCCTTAGCAGAGGCCTGAGAATGGCGGCTGTGAAGGCAAAACATCTAGGTTCAAATTATGGCTGGGTCATTTGCTTAGCTACGTGACACTAGACAAATTATTTTTCTCCATGCCTTTCTTTATCTACAACAGAGGCTAAGAATACAGTATGCCACAGGCTTGTTATAAGGTTAGTGCTTTTGTTGCTGAGTTAGTGCTAACAGCACATATAAAGTGTGTGGGTAGTACCCGCCACATGAGAGGTGTTCCATAAGGGTCAGATATTTTATTCACGGGCTTTCACCACTGTCTTCTCTATCCTTACCTCCCTCTATGAGTGGGGCTCAGGCTTTACTTTTGGATCCTGGAACTGTATCTCTTTCTGTATCTGTTTTCAGTCTGCTTGAAATTCCTTTCTAATCCTTCTTTCTTCCCCCTATCTATCTCTACCATTAACCCCAAACTTTCCCATCTCTTTCTAGGCTGATTTGTGCACCTGGAATTCAACAATTACATATTTGTCGGGCAACTACTATTTCTGTACTGGCATTTCTGGAGGCAGTCAGACAGGTCCTGACATTTAATACTCAGACTCCCCGTACATGTCAAGGAGTGTAACTCCTTGATTTTTTCCCTATCTCTGCTGGGATCTGCAACAGGCCAGGTTAGGTTTGCCCCCAACTCGGATGCCCCACTAAACTTGGAACTGCTAGTCTTTCTTCCTTGTATACTCAGAATTTATACAGAAGTTTTGGGCACATAACACCCAGTAAATGTGTCATTGGATGCATCAGTCTGTCTTGGCCACCGCACCAAGTTCTATACCACCTGCCAGCGTGGACCTGGCCCTGTTTTGTTTTGACTGAGCCTATTTCCTTAGCATAGTTAAGCATGGCAAAACCTGTTATACCGCACCACTCGACAGCACCGCATTTTGTGACAACGCTGTTGCACCCGAGGGCGTGGTCCAGCACATACTTGGGCACCTATTTCCCTAAATTCTTGAAAGCAACCGGGTAAGAGTGGCCCGGGCTCTCCGACCCCTTCCCCCCGCCGGCCTGCACTCACGCTGCACGCTGCAGTTGCCTCAGCAAATGAGCGACCCGGGCCCGGGCTGCCGCGGCCATGGCTGCACAGGGTCCTTCTGGCCACCCGCTCCGCCCCGGCTGCCGACCAATCCCGGCAGCTGCACTCCGCCCGCCCCCTCGGCTGCAAGGTCGCCGGGCCTAGCTTTAGGAAGCTGCGGTTCTGAACCCTAAGACCATTCTCCCACGAGGAGTCAGACAAAACCAGGGCCACCACTGCCCGCTGCCAAGCACCGCATCCAGCTCTGAAACTGCCACAGAAGGCAACTGCACCTCAGGGTCCTGGATGCCGCCTTACATGTTTGTACATGAAAGCTTCTGTTCTTTACAGGTTAGGGATTTGGAAAAGGGAGAGCCAGGCACGCTTCCTCCTCTTTGAATTCATTAAAATACTACTCTGACTTCTGAAGCTATTTTTAGAATAAATTATCAAGGGCCTGCATTTAAATCTTCAACGGTAAACCAGGAATCTTAAAAAAAAAAAAAAAGTCCTAGACTCCTTGTATGTTTTTGTAACAGGTTCAGTGTTGTATCCACTGCTGAATCAAGAAAGCCTAAAAACAAACTGGCAACCACAAAACGTCAGAATTTCAAAGTTGTGTTTTGTAAAGCTGTTCCAGTGCCATTAATGGTTTTGTGGATAATCAGAATTTGCTATGATTACACTACTATGCTGTAGGATGGCTTGGCAGTGTTCAATATTCACATTAATAATGTTATAACATAGGAACTATCTTTTCATTGCAATTTCCAAAAGACCTTATACTGTACAAATGGGACAGCACTTTAAAAAGGGGATGACAAAGCTACTTTCCGATTTTAATTTCCTATCAACTGTCAGACCAAAAAGAATAGGCTGACTTTCACTCTAGAGCAGTGGAAAAGCCTCCCAGATTCTGGATCTACCATGAATCATTTCCCAGACATACTTTATTGTACAGAGATGAGATTACTAAAGTCAAAACAAGAGATTCATACAGAAGATGACCCAAGGCAGCCACAGACATTTCATCTCCTAATTACACCGACATAGGTCAATTTAACAAATTAATCAAAAGATAGTGACATTCCAATTAAGATTTTCTGGATCTCTTTCTCTTCTCAAAACAGATGGGTTATAAATATTGAGAAATCATTAAGTACTGTCTAGAAAAATAAGTTCCCATTATTTTTAGTGTAGCCCAAATGTATCACTTATGCCAGTGTGTACAGTGCTGGCAGTCGTTTTTTATACACATCAGTTATACTAGGCTTTTAATTTTATATTTAATACCAAAGGAAGCTGGGGTTTTCTAATAAAAATGATCTCAGTGAAAGCATTATAATTTAACTACTTTCTGTTTTTAAGGAACAAAAATAATCTGTAATGGATATCCGGGTCAGTGGCTTCATGTACATTCTACCAATAGCCAAAAAGTTAGCACTAAATAGACACATTTCTATTAAATAATATTTATAACATTTATTTGTAAATCCACTTAGAAAATAATTTTTCCTCTTCCTCTTTGCTTTGATAATTATACAAACTTGTTATAAAAATAATGCAGGAACGTGTAAATCAACCTACTCTTAACTTTCTGAAATATGACCAACTCTTAAACCCATATCCAAAATAAAAATGAAAGATGATGACTTTTATAGAATCCATTCCTGGTTTCAACCAAATTATTTCCCTAATTCTTATGTCCTCAAATACACCCTTATCTCAGCTAAGTTCTCGGTTAATTAGTACAACAGTGGGAAAAACAATTTGTACAGTCCAGTTGTGAAGGCAATTTTGTCCAACACCAAGTTCAATGAAGGCAACAGTCACCTCATTCTGCACCCCCAGAACTCAACATTTTATATGTACACAGCACAGTTCTTCCTTTACAGAACATAGCTGAGGATGAAAAGTATCACTTCCTCCTCTTTCCTCCTTGGTGCTGCCCTGCTTTCCTCTTGCTACCCAAACCAGGCGGCCTGGATTGCTTCTTGCCCCCTAAACCTCCTTTTCTCTTCCCTCCCTGGCTGGGCGGGCCACCTTTCCTCTTGCCTCCAGTACCCTGCCAGCCCCCCCTTCTCTTGCCCTTCTGGCTCATTTTCCTCTTCTTGGCGGCCTCCTCTTGATCCTCCTCTCTCATTTGCTTATTGGTGGCCCTTGTCACGTCCAGCTTAGACTTCTTGCTGTTCATGATACGAAGTAGCTCCAACTGGTTCTTTTTCTCAGCTGCAAAGTCCCCGAAAAGGGGCTGGAACTTCCTCTTCTTACCCGAGCCCCGGGGTGCCTTCTCCTTGGGGAGGCGCTCCTGGAAGCGCCCCACAGAGGCGGTGGAGACCTTGGCCACCTGCATGGCGCGACCCAGCTCCTCCTTACTCTGGTGTCCGGTGGGGTGCATGCCAGCTGTACTGGGCAGCTGGGTCTTATGCGCCCGGGCCAGGTTACGCAGTCGGTTCAGCTCGTTCTTGGCCACGCGCTCCTTCTTGGCCTGGATCCTCTTGGCAAACTGGTCTTCCAGGGGGTCGGCACCATCGGGCACTTCGATCAGCCATTCCGTAGTGTCATCCCGGGCGCGCTTGTAGCCCCAGCGCCGCCGCCACTGCCCGCTAACCTCGTCCCACACCAGGTTAGTCTTTTTCTTAGGATGGATGCCCTTGAGGCGCGCGAACTGCTGCCAGCGTGTAAGAGGCCGCGGTTTGGGCACTGGTTTCTCACGTGGCAGGCGGGTAGTGGGCTCCGGCAGACGCGCCACCAGCGCCTCTTCCACGCGCTCCGTGGGCAGCTGCCACAGCTGGTTGATGAGCAGCTGCGTGTTGTCGCGCGCCAGGGCCCGCAGCTCGGCCTCTGGCACGGGTCCCGCCTGCCGCAGCGCTGTTGGGGGATTCCGGTCTGAAGCCAGCAGGTTTCCCAGGTCAAACTCCAGCTCTAGCTCCTTGCTCACCGTGATGCGCTGTAGCTTCTCTGCCTCGTCCTGCTCCGCCTTTGCCAGTAGCTCTTCCACACTGGGGCCCTCCATGGCTCCAGCTCAGCTCCCTCGCTGTAGTGCAGCCGTTGAAGTTACTTTTCCGAGAGCAGTGGACTGGGTACCGGCAATGCAACCACGTGCAGAGACACAGACGCTCGACCGGAAGAGAAGAGTTAACTTCCGGGGCACCCGGAAGTTGCTCCGGACTCGGGCGAGCAAAGGAAAGGCCGGCAGAGGGCGGTATTGGAGAGCTGATGGCGTTAGAGGCGGAAGCCCGGATGTAGGCGGTATTATGTGTTTCAGGACTTGCTTGGGACTTCGATTCCCAGAATGCAGCGGGCTGGAGGCCGCCGGGATTGGCCACGGGGTGTTCGAGTTTCTGGGCTGCATTTGGCGTGGGTTCCAGGTCAAGTGAGCGTCCAATCTAAGTGTAAAGTAGTTTAAGTAACCAGCCCTTCTTGGGGGGAGACAAATTATTTTAAGAGTCTTGGCCCACGTGTGAACGGAGAGACACAGATCTACAGAAAGGTAGGTGTAGTGCTCAGGTATGCGGTACCCCAGCGGACTGACCTCACTCTTGGGTTGCATCCTCTCGAGACAAGAGCCTGCTCGCCTCTTCAGTTATACCGCTTTTGCCTTTAAAATCATGCAGTTGGCTCAGTTATATTTTCCATTGTCACTGAAGCAAGTTGCAATGCGTGACTCGTATCATTTATGCTTGTTTTAAAAATATTTCTAACCCCCTCTTTTTCATCTAGGTATCTCTCCAGAGCTTTAAAAACATTCCTCAGTGGGCTGGGGATTTAGCCCAGTGGTTTCGCCGCTTGCCGCGCAAGCGCAAGGACCGGAGTTCGATCCCCAGCACCAAAAACAAAACAAAACCAAAAACATTCCACATATGGAGGGTTGGAGATTAGCTCAGTGGCACCGCCTGCCTCGCAAGTGCAAGGTCCTGAGTTCGATCCCCAGTAAGCCCTCCAACCCCCAAAACAAAAACATTCCTCATAAAGGCAACAAAATGAGATGCGGGCAGAAAAAGCAGCAATTGTATTTTTGTAGCAACTGTTGTGAAATCTCTAACAAAAGTGAACTTGTAGGGAGAGATTTTTTTTCCCCAAATAGTGATAAGAAGGTAAAAGACATGAAAGTTTTCCTCAATACGTAGCTACTTTGGTCAATAAAAATTGCTTTTTATTTTATTTTTAGTTTTTTGTTGTTGCTGTTATTTGTTTTTGAGACAGGGTCTCGCTCTGTAGTTCAGGCTGGCCTTGAACTCACAGCGATCCTCCTGCCTCAGCCTCCCGAGTGCTGGAATTATGAGCGTGTGCTACCATGCCTGGTAAAGTTTGCTTTTTTAAAAAACAATTTCTTGATGAGAAATGGAAAAAATGGAAATAAAGTCTTTGTAAATAGGGAAGGGTGGAGGGCGTGAAGGGAGGGCTAGGAATGGGGAAAAAATGAGAACCAAGATGCATTATATAAAGGTACAATTCCCAATGAGAAATGTAATTGTGTTGTATACCTACAATGTACCAAGAAAAGAATTTAATAAAAAAACAAAACAAAACAATTTCTTAGTTCTTTGGATACCGAATTGTGGGGAAAGATGGGCCCCTAGACATGGGCCTTTTAAAAAGTAGGAAAAAAATACCCACTCTGTACTGAGACCTTGAGCAGCAGGTAGTTTTGTGGTTTTACCCCTGAAGCAGGCAGTCTGGTTTTACTTTTGCCTTTATTCCGGCAACACTCTACCCTGGTTCCACCTTGTTCAAGTGGCCGTGCCTACCCAAGTTTTCCTGTTAGCCCAGAAAACCCAAACTCTAAGCAACAAGCTGACCACCCAATCAAGTGCAGCTACCCTCAGAAAAAAGGGGTCCCCAGACTCCTACCCTGTAAAACAAGGCCGCTGACCCATAGTCAATGGTTACCCAGCTCTGAGGCCTCCACTTCTTGGAGTGGCTTTGTACTGCTTCCTTCTGCAAATAAACTTTACCTTTTCTTCACACCGTTTTCTGACTCCTCTTTGTCTTTCTACATTGGAGAGAGAAAAGCCCAGGAAAGTTCAAGGGTGGGCTCTTGACCCCAGACCCACAGGATGTGACATTTTTGGGGACTCATCCAGTATTACGAGCAGACCATAAAGACCACCGGTCATGATTAGTATAACCTATCCTAAGTAGGAGTCAACACAGGATACTCCATTGAGAATGGAGAACATTCAATTCTCTTCTCATCTCACTTTCTGGAGATCTCCTTGAGGACCTCAGCACCTTACATGGCTTTCTGGCAGTCTGCAAGGAACAAACAGAAGTCTGTAACTCATGGCCAAGTGGTGATTTGTGTTAAGGATCCTGGCAGATGAAAGTCTGGCTTGCTCTTCCTCAGGCAGCCGTATTAGGGGATTATACTGACACGCCTATGCCAAGAGGACTGACACCCTCTTTTGCAATGTAGTCTGTGCCTGTACTGGGGTTCATACAGACCTGTCTATTGCTAAGAGACCAGGGCCCTACTCCATGAAGGGCTTAAACTGACCTGCCTATTGCCAAGAGGGGACTTTCCTTGGTTTGGTTAGTGGCAAGACCCTGTCCGGTTTGGAGGTGGGGGGAAGATCTATCAGCCAAAATGACGCCCCAACCCAGTCATCTCCTGGCATCAGACGCAAGTGAGACTTGTATTTGATACTTATATCCCCAGGGAGATGCCCAGTTCGTCACTTGAAAGGCATTACAGAGTTCAGTAACCCTTTTGTGCTGGGAGGTCTTACAGAGGTGTCCCCTGTTCAGAGCAATGTCCTTTCTGTTTTTGCTTCTGGAATTGAGTAGAACAAGTCCATCACATTGAGTGGACACAATATTACCATTTCACGTGCCACTTTGCACTCTACCCCGCCCCCCCAGTAAGAAACATTTCTAGGTGAGGAGCAAGATGGGAAGGGGTTACGGTGTCCATTGCCTACCACCTGAAGTGGATATATGGGAGACTGCCACTGAGCTCCAGGTTCCACCTAAATGGAGATTTTCTGTTCAAAGGTAGTGCAGGAGAGGTAGGAAAAGATATACAATAGATGATGCTACAGGGCCCCAAGCTGCTGAAGTCCTCACATTACAAACTGAGGCACTCCAGGTAATTAAACCCCTTTTTGGTGGTCAGGTACACCATCCTGGCCTGCCATAATTGGCAAGTTCCAAAGCAGAAGGCCTATCTCCATTGCTCCTATTGGGGCCCCAGACCCTGTCCTCCAGACTAATGGGCCCAATCCCCCCCGAATTAAGAATGAATCCTTGGCTTAAGACACTCCCTGAACATCACCTCAAAGAGGGGGCAGACAACTCCCCTTGGGGTGAGCAATAGGGAACTGGCAAATCTTTTAGGCATTTTGGGTGGCCCCAGGTCATGCACAGGTGTAGTATGGACAAATTCCTAACGGGGGGATGGGCCACTTACAGAGGTCTCTAGGCCATAATATAACCCCTTTAACAGAATACTTTCTGAGAGGGGTATCCCCCATTCTGGGAGACTTTGTTACATTGCCCTTTCTCTTTCCCCAGATAGGACCTAGATCTTTAGCTGTTCCATCTTGCTCACCCTTGGAATGCCTCCTAAGACGTTAGAAGGAATTAGACTCCAAAATGCTAAAGAAAAAGGCTTTAATTTTTTATTGTACTGATGTTTGGATTAGATATCTGCTGGGGGACCAGGAGAGATGGCCAGAGGGAAGGACCCTAAGCTGTAATACCATTCTCCAGTAAGACCTGTTCTGCAAGAAGGAGGATAAATGGAACAAGGTACCCTATGTGCAGCTGTTTTTTGTCCTTAGGGATCACCCTGAGTGGGGATCACCCTGAGTGGGCATCTCAGTGTTCCAGTGACGCCCCCCCCACCCCGGCTGCTATGGAACCACGATTCATATGAGGCCAGGAGCCAAAATGACAAGAGGGGCACCCTGCAGGCAGGGGGGTGCCAGGGCCTGGCTCCTCCTTACTCTGAGACAACCCCCTCAGCTCTTCCTGCTGGATTATTGCCCCTTAGAAACAATTTGAGAGAGAAACTAGACCAGGTCCCCTTCACTTACTTGGAGCCAAGGTAGATCAGGTGAGACATGGGGGAAGTTTTACTGATGACCATAATGGATACATTAGGGCCTTTGAGACAGTGAACTCACCATTGAGACTTATCTGGGAGGATGTGATATTCCTCCTGAGTGCCACCTTAAACCCAGGAGAAAAAGGAAGGGTCTTAGGAGCTTCAGTGAGGGCTGGAAACTCATGTTTTGAAATCCATAGGGGAAATGTGTTCATAGTGCTGAATGGAAAAGACCTCCCATATGACCCCATAGGGGGAGAAGCACGCCCATTCTCCAGGCCCCCATGGTAATATCAGACTGCAAGAGGGGAAGAGGGTTGACTCCATTTCCTATATTGCATCAAAGAAGGACTAAAGACAGCTAGAGTTAAACCAGTAAATGATGCCTTTAGGACAGATTTACCCAGAGGAAAAAAAGAGCCTCTGTCAGTGTTATTACAAAGACTTAAGGATGCTATGGCAGAGCATACTCTCATAGATCCTGAGAGTCGTGAGGGAGAGGTCCTCATGAAAGATAAATTCCTGATCCAATCAGCCCCTGGCATTTTCCATAAGCTCCTAAAGTTGGCAGGGGACTCAGAATTTTGCTAACACTGGATGACTGTCTCAAAGAGGCCACTAAAGTCTTTTACAACCAGGACAAGGAGATCCAATAGGAGAAAAGAGGGATCAGAAACTAATGGCTGTCCTTTGAGGGCATTTCAAGGGTATAACATTGGAGGGTGAATGACCCTCTAGTCACCAGTGTAAGAAGCCAGGGTGTTTCAGACAAGACTGTCCTCAGTGACAAGGGGGCCCACACAAGCCTCCTTGACCTTGTCTCATCTGCCTGGGAAACCATTGGAAAAAAAATTAATTGCCCTTACCGAGGCCTTCAGGCTGGCCAAGGGCTGGAGAGTAAACATTTATACTGACTCCAAGAATGCCTTTCATGTTGTCTATGCCCGTTCTGCTATTTGGAGGGAACTTCAAGGAGGTCTCCTATTAAATATGCTTCAGAGATCTTACAACTGATTGAGGCCGTACACCTGTCTCGTGAAGTAGCAGTTGTACATTGACTAGGACTCCAAAGGGGACAAGATCCTGTTACCATGGGCAATAAAAG